AATCTCTAAATCTCTACTCAAAAGCTTATTCAAAACTCAAGTTGGTTGGATTTACTTACCTTGTGAAAGGTGACTTCTTTAGCACTTTTCCTTTCCTTTGTTGTCTTGTCTTCTCTCTTAGGATGCTTTAGATGAAATCTCTACTCAAAATTACTCAAAAGCTCTCTTAAACCCCTTAGAAATCTTGGAAGATTGGATGGAGAAATTGAGAGAAAGTAGGCAATGGAAGAGGCGGTGGAAATGGATGGACTAAAGGGTTTCTCTACACTTAACCTTTTTTAGCTCATATTATAATCATCATTTCCCATTTTGGCCTTGCCCTTGCCCTTGCCCTTCCTTAGAAATTCTATCTATATCTTTTGATTCTTTACCAATACACCCCCATCGAAACACAATCTCTACTAAATTTTCTTACATTTTACTCCCCACTTTTCCTGCTAATTAGGGGTAAAAAGTTCATTGTGCCCCAAAAGAAGAATTCTCTAGAAAACTCAAGAAACTTTTTATTAGGCTCTTCGCCGCGGCGAAGAACAATCTGTCACCCTGGGGAAGCTTGAATTTCCAAACTTCACCAAATTTCAACCAAACCAAGGCAAACACTTGACCAATACAACATACCATTTTAAATTAAAGACTCACCAACCAACCATGACAACAAACAAACTCAATTGAAACTGAAACAGTAAATCCTTTAAGTAATATAGAAAATCTTAAATACGTACCTCAAGTGGGGTGTTACAATCGACGACATCCATGAAGGCGTCTTATATACATCAATGCTTCAAAGAGTAGGATTATGGTTTTTACTGAGATTGTGCAACAACTTAAATTGTCGTTTCGAAAGCTTATTCTACATTGTAAAACAAGATGGAATTTGATGTATGAAATGTTGGACGACAATTAAGTTTAAAAAAGTATTTCCCAAGTTGAAATAAAGGGATTCAAGTTATCGTTTCTGTCCACAGGACGAGGATTGGGAGAAAGTGTGTGACATTTTAAAGGTTTTTAGTGGTACAACCAATCTAATTAGTGGGAGTGATTATCCGACATCTAATTTATTTCTAAAGGAGGTGTGTTTAGTGAAAATGATGTTGGATAGTAAGAGTGAAAATGAAGATGAGTTCATTAGAAACATAAAAAGGAATGTGAAGGAGAAGTTCGATAAATATTGGGGGGAATGTAATGTGCTGATGTCTGTGGCTGCTGTATTGGATCCTTGATTGAAAATGGGGGTAATTCAGTTGGCCTTCCCCAAGATGTATTCTGAGTTAGAAGCTCGTGCAAATACTGTAACTGTTCGAGATGCACTATATGAGCTACATAAAGAGTATGTTGAAGCTAATAAAGCTTCTACTATTTCTCGTGGGCCTCCAGTAGTAGGGGATGGAGTTGGAGCCATTGGTGAGGAGGAAACGGCTTCGAGAGTCGCGAGTTGGGATGATTTTAGTAGTTTTCTAAATGTGGTGGAGACTGTTGAGCCAAGTAAGTCTGAGCTGGACTGTTATTTGGGAGATGGGTGTCATAAGTGCATGGGGGATCGTGAGGCATTCGATGATTTACAATGGTGGAAGGCAAATTCAACCAAGTACCATATATTGTCTATGATGGCTCGTGAGATATTAGCCATCCTGATCACTATGGTTGCTTCAGAGTCTGCATTTAGTGCTGGGAGTAGAGTTATTGACAGTTATCGAGCTTCTTTATCTCTAGACACAGTGGAAATGCTCTTATGTGAATGTGATTGGTGTCGATCTTTGAACAGACTGAAGAAATGGTGCAAAGTAAGTTACATTGATTCTGTTTTTAGTGCAATTCAATATTTACAATTACTTTATGTTAATGTAAACTTAATTTTTATTTCTTATTTCATTTCAGAAAGAGCAAGACCACTTGTAGATTGTTCTTCCTATCCCTTCAGTTGACAAGAATCAGTAGATTATTTGATTCTTCCACATGTCATTGGTTGTGGTAGCAGGATTGTGCAGGTTTGACTTAATTGATTTTTTGTTTGGGTTCGCATATTCATCTTTATCTACTTATGTCCTTAAGTGATTTTTTATTTTTTTTCTGTTTGTAGGAGTGGGGTAAGAATGGTTTTGAGATATAGCTGCCCAACATACAGTCATTTTTTTTATGAAACATTATATTTTGATGTTTTGAGATTAAATTTGTATATAGTCCCCTTTTTGTTCAGATGAAAGATGAATTAAGTAAAGTAAACCAAACAAAAACTTTAGTTCACTTAATTTGTTGAAACATATCCACTGTGGTAAATGGTAAATAGTATGACGAAATGATCACATGTGGAGATTCAGTTGTTTGCCAAATACATGCAAGTTTAATTGTGTTTATCAGATAGTTTGTAGCATTAAAATGGAATATACTATACATGCATGTCCCCAACATTTTTTTTATGTTTAATTTGTAAAGAGATTTAGTTGTTTTAAAGTATGTGATAGAAAATGGATTGAATACCATGAAAAAACCAGGTCTGATCCGTCAAAAAAATTGGTTGTTTTAGTACCGACTCGCAAGCCAAGCTCAATTCCTCTATATCCCTTAATGAGTTCGAGCCGAGCCAGCTATCTGTGGCTCGGCTTGAACTTGTTTATCCCTTCCCCCTCACCAACCGAGCTCGTTTAGATGAATACTCGGCTCAGCTCGACTTGTTAACAGCTCTAATTACTAATAGTCTAATAGGGATTAAAACGTTAATAAAAATTTTTATAAGACTAAAGTAGTTTAAGCCAGATATTAGGGATAAAATTGTCATTTTCTTTCCCCCACATGATACCAACACTGCTCCTCTGTAGGACTATATCATTAGATATTTTTGACAATCCAAGAACTCACTTTATCAATAACCAATCATCATCACGATTGAACCCTCTGGGCGGGCCGCTGTCTCCACTGTGGGTCACATAGCAAATCTTTCCCCATTCACATCATGAATATTCACCACATTTATAGGATTATCTTTCATCATTTTTCCAGATTCATCTAAACCCTTCATCACACTCCACTCCATTGAAGTTTCACCCTTCGCGAACCACCCACTACTTGTCCCTACAAAATATCCCTTGCTTATTCCCCCTCAACTCACTTTCTGAAAACGCCACGTTTTATTTCAACAGATGTCACATTGAGAAAATGAGTATGGATTAGAATTAGATCCATCATTCCATCTCTTGCATTTCGTACGGCTGAAAACTCGTGGAGATAAAAAAGAGAAGGAGAGTGAGTCAATAAAGTTACGTAAGTTCATCTCGTCTTTGGTAGTATGTCTGATGGAAAAAACAAATTTGTCGGGGACACATCATATCACAAGAGATCTGTGTGTCTACAAGATAAGATATTTTTGTCCCAATAATTTTTTACTTAATTAACCCGAATAATTTTTACCCAATATTTTTCCTTGAGATTTGGGATTAAATGGGACAATATGGATAGCATTAGTTTTTTAATTATCATATACGAATGTCATAGAATTTAATTAAAAAATAGAGTAAAGTATATGAATTAAATCCTTAATAGTTGGGGGCGTGGCAGAATGAAATAATAGAGGCAAACATAGTATATAATATAAGGTGAGGATAATCCAAAAAGGCAGGCGTGATAAACATGTTTAAACTAATAAAACAAGTTTAGGCAGATTGCTTTGTCGTAATCCTAAACGTCTTGGTAATTGGCCAGAAAACAATGATTTTTAAAAAGAGATGACATGACGCAGATGGTGAGCTTTGAAGGAATCAACTCGATTATTGGAATTGATATGATAGGTCTATAATATAATAATTTGTTGTATTAGTAAAAATAGTTCTTTTGCAATCTACACATTTCGTGAAGTAAAGCACCATGCCACCATGTGATGAAAAGTTCGTGTCAAGTGCAACAGGGGACTTGGTCGGGATCAAAGATTTTTGTTGAATATTGTAAACGATTTAAATAGTAAATTCAATTATTTAACATCTTGAAATTACGCATAACCCCATTTTCTCCCAAGAAGAAGCCTAAAGGATTCAGAAAGTAGCAAACTAGATGTTGTTGAATAATGAACTATCACTTGAATGATCCAAATTTCATAAATGACACACCTGACATATTTCAGCACAGATTAAAAAAAAAAAAAAAAAAAATTTGACATGCATCATCATCAACTCCAATAATTGAATTATATATCCAAAAATATAGTTACGTGGCAGACGAGTCTTTAATAATTCACAATTTCACTGTACTTACTTTGAACAAGCAACTAAATAATTGAAGTGGTCGATCACGCATAATGCCTTCCACTTGCCCCAATTCGTGATCCCATTTGCTCAGTTGCATTATTAGGTCCCACAACTAACTAAAAAAAAATGGACCAATCAACCATATCATAAGAATTGCGGGCCCATATTATATCACCAAAATAGAATCAATGATTGATAATTGTGGGCCGTGTTTTACACTCTACCCAAATTTGACAAGCACAAGAAAGACAATGTGGACACTTGTTTCAACTATTTCAATGGCTCCGATTAATTAATACCAAGATAATATAAATTTTGACTTGGAAAATTTGTGCATGGTTAACCAAAACAAGACATCACCGGTCTGATCAATTCGTGCCACGTGGGATCATCGAAACGGGACGTTACGCGTTTCTTTTCTTATTTATCGGTGCGGGTGCGTGACAGACACTGAGTACGTGGATACGAGTCAGCACGTTTAATAATTAACACAGGGATAATAGCGCACATGGTAACCGTTGCGTACAAATTCCATGTACCCAAACCAATTGCTACGTGTACATTAATATGCATCAGCGTTGATTGTTTTAGCACACGTGTCGAGCGATAGCCTCAATTTGATGGAAAAATTTTCAAACCCGGTGTCATGCGAGATTAATCTTGATAAAGAAAGGGAACATGTGGTTTTTGTACAGCAGCGTGGCGGTCTAATCTTCCGTGAAAAACGGTTTTATTTTACTTTTCAAGAAGACAAGAAGCTCGAAGACGGGTGGAAACTTTAGAGAGACAAACAATGGTGTCAAATTCATGTTACAGTTCCAGATCTCCGACTATAAATACCAGTTCTTTTATTCATTCGCCATCATCAGCACATTCACTTGTTGCATCAATTGCTTCTCTTAACATTTCAAATTCAAGATTAAATTTTTTTACCAAGAAACTTTCTTCTGCTGGTATTCATCATTTTCCCCAGTCGTTTCATTTCTTTTTATTTCAAGAAACCTTCATATCTTAAAGTGCTAACAAGCTTTATTCATTGTTTCATATCTTGGAATTTGCAGATATTCCCGGAAGCCTACATTTCCGATTCTCTCTTTTAAGGTATATAGTCCTTTACTTGCGTTAATTTCTGCCCAAAAAAAAAAAAAAAAATTGTTTTTTTTTTTTTTTTTTATAGTGTGATACTCGGAAGTGCAGAAAACCGAGTTGACACGGAAGAAGAAACTTTACAAAGGAGAAGTTGAAGAGATGACGATTAAACCGGCGGTTAGGATCGCCGAGAGGAAAGTAATTGTAAAGGATCGTACGATTCTTACCGGAGTACCGGACAATGTAATCGCGACATCAGGTTCATCGTCCGGTCCGGTCCAGGGAGTGTTTCTGGGCGCGGCTTTCGATGCAGAAAAAAGCAGGCACGTGATCTCTCTAGGAACTCTGCGAGACGTCCGGTTCATGGCGTGCTTTAGGTTCAAATTATGGTGGATGGCTCAGAAAATGGGTGACCAAGGCAAAGATATTCCACTCGAGACTCAGTTTTTATTGGTCGAAACGAAGGACGGTTCCCACCTCGAATCTGTCGACGGAAACGAAGACAATCAGATTGTCTACACCGTCTTCCTCCCTCTGATCGAAGGCTCCTTCCGCGCGTGTTTACAAGGAAACGAAAACGACGAACTTGAGTTGTGTTTAGAAAGCGGTGACGCTGACACCAAAGCGTCGTCGTTTACTCACTCTTTGTTTCTCCACGCTGGCACCGATCCTTTCGTCACAATCACCGAAGCAATCCGGGCCGTTAAATTACATCTCAAAACTTTCCGTCTCCGGCACGAAAAGAAATTGCCAGGTATCGTCGACTATTTCGGTTGGTGCACGTGGGACGCATTTTACCAAGAGGTAACGCAAGAAGGCGTAGAGGCTGGGCTGGAGAGTCTCGCCGCCGGTGGAACCCCGCCGAAGTTCGTGATCATCGACGACGGTTGGCAATCGGTGGGTGGAGATTACAGCTCCAGTTCCGGCGAAAACGAGAAGAAACAACAGCCGTTGCTTAGGTTGACTGGAATTAAAGAAAATGAAAAATTCCAAAACAAGGAAGATCCAAAGGTGGGGATTAAAAATATCGTGAACATTGTGAAACAAAAGCACGGGTTGAAATACGTGTACGTGTGGCATGCGATCACGGGGTATTGGGGTGGAGTCCTTCCCGGAGTCAAGGAGATGGAGGAATACGAGTCGTTGATGAAGTACCCAATGGTGTCAAAAGGAGTGGTGGAGAATGAGCCCTCATGGAAGAGTGATGCATTGGCGATACAGGGATTGGGTTTGGTGAATCCAAAGAATGTGTACAAGTTTTACAACGAGCTGCATAGTTATCTGGCGTCTGCGGGTATAGACGGAGTTAAGGTGGATTCGCAGTGTATATTGGAGACGCTGGGAACGGGATTGGGTGGCAGGGTTGAGTTAACGAGACAGTATCATCAAGCGCTGGATGCGTCTGTAGCGAGGAACTTCCCGGATAATGGGTGCATTGCGTGCATGAGCCACAATACTGATGCGCTTTACTGGTGTGTAGCGTTCTGTATTTTTATTTTCAATTTTATTTTTAGGGATGAAATTGAGATGTTTTCTAATGTGGTGCGGTTACAGCTCGAAACAGACGGCGTTGGTGAGAGCATCAGATGATTTCTACCCGCGTGATCCAACGTCACACACAATTCATATAGCGGCAGTGGCATACAATAGTGTATTTCTGGCAGAAATTATGCAGCCGGATTGGGACATGTTCCATTCGCTTCATCCGGCCGCGGAATACCATGGTTCAGCTCGTGCTATAAGCGGTGGCCCCATCTACGTCAGGTAACAATTTTCATAAAGTCCTCGTCCTTTACTTCATTTTATTACTGATATATTTTATATTTCATGTGCAAACTAAAACAAATTAATGTATATAAATTCATGTGGTACAGTTGACTATGTATATATGTATTCATCCGGATTTCTAATAATACATTAGTTTTATAAAAGAGATTGTACTTTTATATTAACTTGGCTGAATTTTCGAGCAGTGATGCACCTGGGAAACACAACTTTGAGCTACTGAAGAAACTCGTGCTGCCTGATGGGTCCATTCTTCGATCCCGCTTGCCTGGCCGCCCCACTTGTGACTGCTTGTTCTCTGATCCTTCCCGTGACGGTGTTAGGTAATTAATGCATTTCATTTTGATAAGAAATTGTGTTGATGTTTCTGACATTCTTTGATAAATTTACTCACTAAATCTTGCCTGGTCTCAGCTTGTTGAAGATTTGGAACATGAACAAGTACACAGGAGTATTAGGGGTGTACAATTGCCAAGGTGCTGCATGGAACACAACTGCAAGAAAGAACACATTTCACCAAACCAAAAGCGAGGCCTTAACCGGACAAATAAGGGGCCGCGATGTCCACCTCATTGCAGAAGCTGCCACGGACCCTAACTGGACCGGTGACTGCGCCATCTATTCTCACCGAACTGGGGAACTCGTCACACTCCCTTACAATGCAGCATTGCCAGTGTCCCTCAAAGTCCTTGAACATGATATCTTCATTGTCACACCCATCAAGGTCTTGGCACCCGGATTCAGTTTTGCACCATTGGGGCTTATCAACATGTACAACTCTGGTGGTGCTATTGAGGGGCTGAGCTACGAACTAAAAGGCGGTGTTAAGCTATTGGAGGTTGAAGATGGAGGTGAAGGGGATGGTGTAAGAGTGGAGAATAATAGCAATGAGTTGGTGGCAAAAGTTTGTATGAAAGTTAAAGGCTGTGGCAGGTTTGGTGCTTATTCCTCAGCAAAGCCTAGAAGGTGCATTGTGGATTCAAATGAGGTTGAATTTCAGTATGATTCATCATCTGGGTTGGTGACATTTAGCTTGGATAAATTGCCTGAGGAGGATAAGAAAGTTCATTCTGTGGATGTTGAGTTATAAATATGTTTTAAGCATAGAGATTAGGAAGTAAGGTTCAATATAGATATAAGAATGTGGGGTTTGCTATGGAAGTCATTTACCATTTTTCCCCTAAAAATATATTGTTAGATTTATGTAACGAGTGAGAGGAAGAAATAGATCTCTTTTCTTGTCTAGAACCTTTTTGTATGCCAAATATTATTGTGCTTGCTTTGACTCATGTTCAAAGGTTCAAGAGTTGTATCTGAATTCATAATTTGATTGCTGTAATGCTTACTACTGTTTGTTATAATCCTGTTTGTGCCCTTGTCAACCATTAAACTCAAGTCCTCGAAGGGAGAAACCAGAGGATAAAATGCTGAAAAAATATGGAACTAACTGCATTTTCCGCCAATCAGCAATGTACTGTTTTACAAACACAATCATACATCAATTACGAAAGTACACAAGAAGCTAAAATTATAAAATCTCTTTTGTGATGATTAACAAGAAGCTACAATCCGACAGTTACTTAAGCTGTGAGAGAAAAATATACAGCCAAGAGAATTGCGATGTTGCCACCTCAGTCGCTATAACCATAAGTGAAATAGGGAGAAAACCATCCAAGTTCCGGGTTTCGGCTTTAATTCACTGGTTGACACACACACTCAACTTTATACACTAATTAAATGTAGTACAGAATTTGCCCACCATCATATATGATTTGTAATAAAATAATAGATAGCAGTGAGCACACTTGTCTTCTTAGCTTTCCCTGGATGTGGAGCTAAAAGATAGTGCATCTCCAGCAGCTAATTATTGTAACAAGATGAATGTCCAACCTTCAAAAAAGTGCATGTAATGACAACATCTACTCTAGAAATATCTTCACATGTCCAACTATCCAAACAATCCTTTAGAATGGTACAAATGGTAACCTAATGGAGAATTAAGAAACTACAACTAACATACCAACCTACCATAATCATACATGTGCTGCTGTGATTTAACCAAAACTTAATCTAAAATTCCATTTTCACAAGTGCGTTTGATACTTCAGATGATCCATACTGGAACCAGTCCTTCGCACATATAAGGGCTTCCACTGTCTCTGGTCGTAAAGAACTCCTGTACTGATCCATCTCTTTGCTTACCGTATCAAACACAGAGTCCGGCACCACACTGGATACTGGTATTGACAAGATATCACGAGCCATCTTCGAAAGGGTAGGATATTTCAACTTGTTCAGTTTCCACCAACCCAACACATCAAAATCATGCACACGAGGCAACAAAGATTCATCCAAATACTGGTCCAGCTCACACTTCATGTGTTGGCTAGTAGTCTCCATTATGTACATATCAAAATCTGTCAGTCCGTTGTCTGACATAAAACCTCCTCCCTGGGATTCCTCTGTCTTCACACTGACCCCGGCATTCCCTTCTTCTGTGTAGGTTGGAGTTAGAGGCAGGGGAAGTGCAACGTATTCCTGAAAGAGCTCATGAATCCCATCATCAACAATCTTGATATATGCGGGAGCATCTTCACCATAAAGTTTTGTGAAACTGAATTCAACAAGCTTCATCTTGAACCGAGGATCCATGACAACCGCAATTGCCAAAACCAGGCAACAATCCTTCCAGTATTTATCAATCTTCTCTAGCATTGCTTTGGTAACATCGCTGACAAACGGATCTTCATTCGTAACTGCACGAGTCAGGTCTGAGTGAATCTTCCATGCTTCATGAAAGAATGTAATTGCAGTTGGGTTGGTGGTAGTAGTCAAAATGTTGGCAGAATCAAAAAGAGGTTTCAAGAATGCACATAGAGTCTCAATCAGTTTCCAGTCTTCCATTAATGGGGCTTCCTTGTAATCAGGATCAGAAGTATCCAAACAAGAAAAGACTTCCTTCAACTCTGAAGCAGCCACCAACATCTGATATGTTGTGTCCCATTTAGTTTGGTCATCAATAGATAGGCTTTTTTCGCTGGGGACTTGAAGCTGTTGCTTGAGCTCAAGAAACTTTTCTTCGTGAGACTCTGAAGTCTTCACATACTTGACACTGTCACGAATTTTCTTGACAATTCCTTGTCCTGCCTCCAACACGACTTTTGCCATGCTGCTAAAAGTACGAGCAATGCAATTCCCAACCAACAATTGTCCATTAAGAATAAGGGGATTCTTGATGCATAGTAAAGGCCTAAGCTGTTCAAGCCCTGCTTCACTTAGTGGATGACTGAAAGTGAGAGAAAACAGCTTGCCATCCAAACTCCAATCAGCAAGGCAAGCAGCAACAGCGTGGCTAAAAGCACTGTCTGAATCAGGATAAGGTTCCATCACCACATTGAGAGTCCGCTTTTGCAACCTCCACTCACTATCAATGAAGTGTCCAGTTATAAACACATAACCTAAGCTTTGGCTAGAAGTCCACAAGTCCAATGTAAGGCAAAAACGTCCAGGTATGCCCTCAATGAACTTCATGAGGCTTTGCTTTTCTCTCAGGTAAGTAGCAACACAATCCCCTTGGACAGTGTTGAAGCTCACCTTGTCAAACCGGGGCTGAAGATTCTGGACAAAGGTTATAAATCCAGGATGTTCAACCATATGAAGAGGATAGTTGTGCATGATGATCATCCTAGCAATTTCATGACGGCAACGGTCTTGATCAAATGAAATGTAAGGCACACTAGGAGATCGGTAGCGTCGCTTTGGAGGTTCACTTCCACCCATCCTTGGGGTATATGGGGTTAACTGGTTGTTACCCTGATTACGTAAGAGTGCTGGGCAGGTTCCCTTCGCAATGTGGCGTTTGAGGTGACTTGTACCTGCAACTTTTGAACCTGTGCTGTATGCAAAACTTTGCTTGCACTGCTTACAGCACGCTCTTCTACATCCAGCGCTAACAGTTTCTATGGTGAAGTGCTCCCAGACTATGGACTTCTTTTTCCTCCGCTTGTTAGGCTGAGTTTCTGGACTGGTCACCTCATTGTTAGGCTGTGTATCTTGAATGGCCAGCATATTATCAGGCTGTGTATCTTGAATGGCCAGCATATTATCAGGTTGTGTCTCTGGAATTGGTAGCTCGTTGTGAGGATGGGTCTCTTGAACTGCTAGCTCATTGTTAGGATGGGTCTCTTGAACTGCTAGCTCATTGTTAGGATGCGTCTCTTCAATTGGTAGCTCATTGTTAGGATGTGTCGCCTGAATTGGCAGCTCATTGTTAGGATGAGTCTCTTGAATTGCTAGCTCATTGTTAGGATGTGTCTCTGAAATTGCTGGCTCATTGTTAAGCTGTGTGTCTGCAATAGCCAGCTCATTGTTTGGATGTGACTCCGTAACGTCTAGCTCATTGTTTAACTGTGTTTCTGGAGTCATCAGCACATTGTTAGACTGTGTTTCTGGAGTCATCAGCACATTGTTGGGCTGTGTTTCTGGAGTTATCAGCACATCATTAGCCTGTGTTTCCGAAGTCATCAGCACTTCATTAGGCTGCGTTTCTGGAGTTATCATCCCATCGTTTGGCTGTGTTTCTGATGTCATCATCACATCATTAGGCTGTGTTTCTTGTGTCATCATCACATCATCAGGATGTGCTTCATGTGTAATCATCACATCATTAGGCTGCGTGTCTGGGGTCATCATCACGTCATTAGTCTGCGTTTCTGGAGTCATCAACACATCATTAGGCTGTGTTTCTGGAGTCATCAGCACATTGTTATCAAGCTGTGTTTCTTCAGTGGTTGCCATCGTGTCTCAATAAGCAATATCCTGGATTGGATAGCATAAACACAAAGATAACCAACATAAGTTGAATGCTGAAGAATACAGGAAACTGATAAGATTCAATTAAGTAAGCATACCAGTCATTACGGTAAACTCATCATGAAAACATACCACAAGGATTCCAGGCAAATAAGGTAACAGAAAGATTTCATTTTTTGAGATGCATCATGACATGATACATTGCTGCTTAACTGGGAATAAATATAAGGCACAGGTAGTGACTGAATTCTAAACAAAAAGCTTTAAAATGTTTATTATGCACCATCATACGTAACATAGCTGCTTAAATAAATATTAAGAGGAAAGCATAGCAAACCACAAGACATCACGCATTAGGAACCTTCCCAACAACCATATGTTTTACAGTGGATGAACATTGATCCACATATATAAATCCCATAAAGCCATGCATATAGCACAAGAAGATTTGGTAGGTGAAAACCATGTCTCAGCTTATTCAAACTTTAAGTTGCAAAAAAAAAAAATTAAGTTGTGCTGTTTGATACTGCCTTCATCACTAGGACTGATTAAAATTTTGTTTCATGAGATGTACAGCATAGACAGCCAATCTTCTAGAAGATGAATTTCAATTAGTTTGTATAAATTGGGATATGCAATCATGTACTTCCATGGGCTCCCTATTCTAAGGAGAACCTAACAGTTTCTAGGTTAACCAATATGTAATGTTCAAATTTGATTAAATATGAAAATGAAAATCAATGAGTCCAAGAATTGTATCACCTTTCAGCACCTCCCATTTGGACAAGCAACAAAATGTTACTTGGGCAGTTGAAGGGATTATGTTAAGAGTTAAGACAACAAATTTTTGCATGTACGTCTTTAATTAGACTGAAGAAGTGCCAAAATAGAGCTTTATATTTTCTTCTTTAATTCCTCAGATAGCTCAAGGGAAATCCAATCCCCAGTACTCAAGAAAATGTGGTACAGGATTTGACTATTAAGTGTGTTTTCAAAGCATTTATTTCTATTTTAGGATGGTTGACGAACTCCAAATAATCGGTTTTCAAGTAGTTGCAAATATATCCTTATATTTCTCCAATTTCCTTATAGTTTAATTCAGAAACTACACAATCCATTAAACTTATATCCCTACATGTTATCTCTCAAGCTTCCAACACCAACATGCCTGGCACCATGTTATTCGGTTGAATACCAATAGTTGTATACTAAGTGATGCATGGATGAAGAATCACATTCCCAATTACTTATTACAGACATTGCAGAGAATCTAAATTGTTGAAAGACAAGTAGCATGCAAGCCTACATGTAGGGACCATGAAATAAATGGTTATAATTTCACAATTACGAAGAATAAAGATTTCCCAGCTGTAAGAAACATACTCACTGTTCCTGACATGATTTTTTTTTGTTTTTTTGTTTCTTTTTACAAATTAACCTGCCTACCAATTTAAAATTTTAAAATGTCCACCACATGTTACGTATCAAAACGACACATGCAAACAAGAATTTTACATTTTGTTTAACTGGTGTCACTCACAGTTAAAAATATAATAACTGCCATTTGATAACTTCCATCAGCAATCCACTACATGACAAGCAAAATTCAAAGAAAGAATGTTAAACCACTGGGCCCAGAACTGGACTATGCTTGGGCTACTAGCTCAAGTGGGCCCAAAACATCCTAACTCATACGATGAGGTCCATCTAGGATCTTCTTTCCACAATTTCAGGCGCACTTACGAACCGGTATGGGCTAGGGTTAAAATAGGAACTTAAAATTTAAAGGACTAAAAGGGTAAAAAAAAAAAAAAAATCCAGATCTAGGGTTTGATCATGCTTGGGCTTTCCTCAAAGTAAAGAAAACAAGCCCAGATCAGGAAAATACCCAATCAATCACGAAGAACAAACACATCTTACCCAGATCAACATAACCCAATTAACCTTTGATAACCGGAAACAAAACAAATGTTCGTGAACACATACTTAACTAAACGGACATCCGTGAACACATAATTAAGTAAACGGAAATGAAATTAGCAGATAATCATCATAACAATCACTTATTCCACTTATTCAAACTCTAAATAACACAAACAAGCGAACAATTCTCGAATCAAACAATGAATTCATAAAATTCCAGCACAAAATAAAAATCGAAACAAACAAAGAGTCGAAGAAAAACAACAGAACTCAAAGCTCAAACACGAGACAAAAAAACCAAAATTAGGGTTAGGGTTAGGGTTATTACCGGTGGTGGAGCCAAAACGACGCGATTTACGGGCGCATAAGAAGTTCGGAGACCGATAATCGGAGGTCCCAACCGGCGAGGAAGAAAGAGATCTAGGGTTTTGCAGGGCGAGGAGAGAGAGATTTGGGCTTGGGGAATTGGGACAAAACCCGAGAAGCTAATTGGACCTAAAGAGATGGAGTAGTTGGCTTAAGTTAAAGAGATAAAAACCAGTCAAAATAAGAGATATAATTTGGGCATGGACTATGTGAATGAATCGCTACTTTTTGTGAAGGTCCATTATTATTATTAAATAATATTTTTTATTATTCTTATCGTTATTTCTGATGGTTAAGTCTAGCATGCGAAACGGACCACAAAAGCCCATCTTAACTTTTGGTATTTGAATTTTTAGAGTTACGTGTTGTGTAGTGTAGCCCACCGAATATTTATGGGTGAGGACCCACTTCCACTTACTTGCTTAGCCCAATCAAATTTTATGATCATCATGATTGATCCGATATCACTCAGTCTCATCATGCTGTTTCGCGGGCTCCAACTCTTATCGCACCAAACCCACCCATTCCATTTTTAAGAATACCATTCATAATGTAAAGTTTATATTTCAATTTAATGTTCTAATATTTTACGCTATCTATTGATATATATTACTTTCATTAATATATTGCACCATATATTAGGTAAACATAATCTATTGTTTGATTTTAGAAATTGTTTGAAGGATCATTAAGTAAAAGATTCCATATATCAAATTAATATGCTATTATCCCACTGAGCTAAATAATAATTTTCTCCCTTAAGGGTGTGTTTGGTTCAAAGAATATTGTATTATTGAAAATGTTATATTAATGGAGAGATTGATTAACTTGAAGATTATAAAAAATGTTTAGGAAAATAAGTTTGGTTGGTTGAAATAAATTGATGGGTATATTATATAATTTACTAAATTGCCCTCATTTTTAAATATTAATATAATAATAATAATAATATTATTATTATTATTAATTCTTGTAATCCCGTTTGAGATATTGCTAAAACACATTAGGCACATAAAAGTTTAATTTCTAACAAAATCACTTCTATCCACTCCAAACCACTACTGGCCGCATGCCACCGCCGGTGGCAATGGCGACAGTGGTCGTGATGGCCTATGATCGGTTGAATCTAGCTAAAAATAGCCAACTATGGTCATAAATGGCTATCGTTAATGGCCAAAGTTATGCCATTGACAACCATAATCTAGCTATAAGTGACGACCAGATTAAATTTAATGGATTAAGTGTGAAATGTATTGGTTAGATGATGGAAACATTAACAAAATAGTGACTATAACAGGTAAATTGTTTTTTCAGATAATTAAGGCGAAGAAAAATTGATTACGAATTAGAGAATTAATCAGTCCAATGATTAATAAACATGTGGTGTAGGATAAAAAATCATATTTAAACAATGAAAGGAACTTCCCAGCAAATAATTAAAGTTGACTTTCTTTCTTTAATAATTCAAACTATTTTAGCATTAGACGCTCCATCTTGCTTGGATACTAGTAGAAAAAGATTTAATAGTACTTAGCAGTTAGCACATAGGGAAAGGATAAAAAATAATTAAAACAAGAACGAATGGGCCTGGTGTAGGGTGGGCAAAAGTATGGGCTGAAATCATGGTTAAGTAGTAGGGAGTATGGGCTTTGTGGTTTGTTCTGACGAATTATTGAAATCTACCAATTTACTTTTGTTAGCGCCTTCAAATATCATTCATTCAATAATTAAAAAAAAATTATATATATACATATGGTAGCCATGAGGTTATGTTCTGAATTATTGGCCAACAATTTATATACTGTTCAAAAATATGACTACGGGACTGTCCTTGTGTTTTGGAGTTCAACCATAACTGTTCTCCAAAAAGAATACCTCTTACTTTATTAGAATAATGTTCAAATAAAATTCGGAGGTTTCTCTCCAATTAATTAAACTTATTTACGATGATTCTTAAAAGTTTTAATATTCTACATACACAACAACTATCTAAACATATTTATATCATATAATTTCTATTATGCGAATTTTAAATTGCAGTTGATTAAGTACTCGAGATGAGCTTTGTTCCGATCTTCAACATCGGATAAAACCAATGCCATTCCCTAGCAGCTTGAACCTTGAGCCTCAAAGCAAGGGATTAAGGAAATAGATTAGGAGTGGGCATCCTACCAGCTCTATGCCGGCCGAGTAAGGAAGGGATGCAATCATAGTAAAGAAAATTTGTTTTTTTTTTTTTTTTTAACANGATATTCAAGAAAGACTACTCTTTCAAATCACAAGATAAGATGATGCTTTTTTTTTTTTCTTTTACTTAAAATTGTTTTCTTTTAGCTTTCTTAATTGATGAAGAATCATGAGTTATAAGTTTTTGTTGAGTTTAATAAATGAGTTTGAAATTGGAATATTAAATTCTCAGATTTTGATATGAGTTTTGATTTAATCTTTATTTATATTGAGGTATGAGTTAATTAGTTGTTGTTTTAAGTTGGGTTAGATAAATTTCAGTTAGTTATTAAGTTAATTTTGAATGATTTAAAGAATCAACAAAACCCTGAGATGTAGAAAATTAGGGCTTCGTTTGGTTCAAGATTGGGAATACTACTCTTAGTATTCCCAAAAAAGTTAAACAGTAAAATACCCAAAAACTCTCATTTTTGGGAATACTATTTTCAATATTATTCAATTTTTTTTAAACCCTCTAAATTTGTTAATTTAATTAAATACCCCTAAGTATTTTTTTTAAAATTACAAAAACACCCCAACAATCCATATTTACCAGATTCCGGCCACCACCGCCGGAATCTGGTAGGATGGCGCACTACCGGTTGACTCTGGCCGGTAGTGTGTCGATCTAGCCTTTTCCGGCCAGATCCACGGTGGATCTGGCCTGAAAAGGCCAGATCTAAGGCCAAAGATCTGGCCGTTGACGACCAGATCTTTGGCTGAAACAGTCAGTCACGACGGCCAACAAACGGTCGTCGTTGACCATCAACGACGACTGTTTGTTGGCCGTCGTTGAGAGCAAATACGGCCAGATCTGGCGGTTGACGGCCAGATCTACGGCCAGATCCACCGTGGATCTAGTCGAAAAAGGCCATATCGGCGCATGACAGGCAAAATCTAGCCGGTCATGCGCCCATAAGGCGACTTCGGCCACCTCCGATGGTGGTGGTTGACTGGGGGTGTTTGAGGGTGGGTTAGGGGTATTTTTGTTAACTTTTAATGTTTTATTATAGGGGGTATTTTGTAAAAAAACAAATATATGGGGTATTTTATTAATTTATAAATCCTACATCGTAATACCCGCCCAATTCAACTTTTTTTTTAACTTTTTTCAAAAAACTTTTCCCAAAACCCCCAAATTTTGAACCAAACGGAACCATTTGTATCAGATAATTTCTATTATGCGAATTTTAAATTGCAGTTGATTCAGTATTCGAGATGAGCTTTGTTCTGGTCTTCAACATCGGATAAAACCAATACCATTCCCTAGCAGCTTGAACCTCGAAGCAAGGGATTAAGGAAATAGATTAGCAGTGGGCATGCTACCAGCTCTATGCCAGCCGAGTAAGGAGGGGATGCAATCATAGTAAATAGTTCATTTGAATGTATGGAAGAAATTCAACTATTAATAGACATTTTTTCAAGCAAATGATTGGAAGTTTAGATCAAACAATTTGTTTTTTTTTTTTTTTTTTAACAAAATGTTTAACCATTTGAAATAAACACGAATTTTAGAATTATTATATTATTTACATATGAAAAAAGATCAACAGTTTATTTATAATATTTTTTCTATGGCAAAATCTTCATTTAATTTGAGTGATAATCCTAATAATAACAAAACAAAATATTGTTATTTAATTAAAGATTGAAAATCATTAAAGAGTTGAAATTCTTGCAAACAAACCCAAAGACCTTCTTCTTCCTCTCGCGATATTAACGCATTCCTCCGCCATTGACATCTTCTCCAACACAGATCGTCGTTGTCGTCATCCTTTTCCTCCTCCTCGTGACATTTCGTCCAGGTATGTGTATCTCCCCTTTCGATTTTATATTTTGATTTACAAAGATTTAATGATGGATTGGGTTTGGCTTATGATTTTGATTTAGTTGTTTAGGTTGTGTTTGATGTAATGGAAGTTGAAAGGAGTGAAATTTGTTGAAAAATGTCTTGCATTGTGGGTAGTTGGGGGTGGTAGCACCGATTGTAGGCGGAGAGACTGAAAATATGCTCTAAATATGATGGATAGCTTAAGCGATCCGGTACATTGGTAATACAATAGATAGATCGCTTAAGCGATCAGGTATGTGACATAAGATCGCTCACATACCTGATCGCTTAAGCGATCTGCTAAAAGTCTGGTGTATAGCAGCAGATCGCTTAAGTGATCAGTAATCAGTAAATGACATAAGATCACTTAAGCGATCATGCTTATTTATACTGGATCGCTTAAGTGATCCATGATATCGCTTAAGCGATTTAGTATGAGGATATACCAGATCGCTTAAGCGATACACCAGATCTGTCAAGCGACTGTGCAGATGTTTTTTAAAATATTTCAACCCTTAGTACATCAGTTAAGAATAGTGTTTTTCTTACAATATAGGTAGTTGGCTATTACAAGACATGGGACAAGTTGTTTTAGGTGTTGAATATTTTGGTGAGTGGGTGAAAGAAGAAAGTAGCTAGAAGTGGATTGGGAGGAGCAAAGAAGTTATACCAATTGCTGTGAGCACAGAGGTTAGTTTTGATGAGTTGATTGATGAAATAATTAGAAGAGGTGAATTGAGTTGCTCACGTAGTGATATAGTTGTGAAGTATGTTTTAAGCAGAGTTCCTCAACATTATAAGGTACCTCCTGCTATATTAAAGTCGGATGAAAGTATGAAGTTATATATGATTGATGTGGCCAATAATGGTTCAAGGCCGATTTTAAGGGTTTCTTTTATAGAAAAACCGTTGGAAGTTGGTTCAAAGGAAGGGGATAACAAGGAAGTTGGCGGAGATTTGCCTGGTTTTAATTTGAACTACAAGGGCGACAATGATTTGTTAGTTGAAAAATCAAGAGTAGATGGTGAATTGGGTGGTGAGGAGGACACTATAAAAGAGGTTGGTCATAGGGGCCAGAATGAAAATTTTGAGGAGGAGGACCCCGTACATGTTCTCGCGGATGTAGAGATTCCTTTAAATACAGATTATGCAGAAGGTGTAGTTTG